GTATTGCCAAAAAATACCGTCTCTCCCATATAAAAAAACCGACCTCTAAAGTCATTCATCCCTCAGTTTGTCCCTCTTAGAGGTGAAATATTTTCTTCAAATTCAAAAGTAACCAATTCTGAGGTACCCTCTTTCCAACAAATAAAGAATGATTAAAATCGGTTTACTAACGTCGAAGTGAAGTTGCGTAACATACATTTAAAAAAAAACACTCGAATTAAGAACATCCTCCTTTTTTTAAGTCGGTTCATCTTTTAACCCATGGAAGAAGGTGAGAGCCTAAAATAGATATCTAAAATAATAATAAATCGCGCAATTCTTATAAACAGTACCAAACTAAAAAACGAATATTGAAAAAAAGAAAGAAAGAAAAATTGTTTATTAGCGTCATAATTATGCCATATTACAATTTACAAATTTTACATTCTTAAGCCTAGATATAAGTATAACGCTAAACCGACGTCTACTCAGCATTAGTCGAGGCATATTGCAACACCCCAACGCTGGTCTTCCGGAGACACCGGCCAGTTAGGAAGTACCAGTACGCGCTGCAACGACACGCCGAACCATATAATATATGGTGACAAGTACGAACTCAATATGATGTAATAAAATACTTAACAGTTAATGGTAAAAATATTAAATTAAATGTTCATTGGTATTGCAGGATAATGTAATATTAATAGAGTAAATTATAGGAACCCACTAATATTATATATATATATATATATATATATATATAATATATATATATATAATTATTAATAACTATATATTATACTATTGTGAAGAAATGTTCATGTGCACACTGAGGAACCATTGGAAAAGTCCCTTTATTCAGTAACAAAGTACACTTAAAAGTACTTAATAAGTGATTAAATTTTTATATTTATTAATGAATTTGACATTTATACTGTAATATACATTTATTAGTTATTAAGAATCCTTACTGACATTTCCTGTATACACTTGACATTGTTAATTTCATTCAATTAGTTATTAGTTATATAATTATGTTGATTTTGTATACGTACACTATTACGTACTATGATTTACTATTATTATAATTATTTCTCATTATTTTGTAAACTGACGCTCACTTTTCGAAGAGTAGTATAAAATGACATGTAATTATGTTTGTATGAAATTTGTAATGTTGAGAGAAATAACAAAAAAATACCCTAAAGGAGAGTATCGTTTGTATATTACACAATTGTAAACAAATATTTGACCTTGTGTCGAGGGACCTGCACCTGTTTTCACGGTGCCGCCATCGCTAAGGTCCCGGTTTCGATTCCCGGCCGGGTCAATGTAGAAAAGTAACTTTTGCATATTGTCTTGGCTCTGGGTGTTTGTGGTACCGTCGTTGTTTCCGATTTCCATAACACAAGTGCTTTAGTTACTTTGGTATCAGAGCAACGAATGTTTTTTTCTTATGATACAAAGTGACAAACAAGTCGTACGCCTGATGGTAAGCGACACGCCTGTCCATAACAGTTGCAGTGCCACTCAGAACTTTAAAACACAAAGATCTGAAAGGCTCTGCCACTGCGCCCGGCCCTACGCATAATATGTTCACAGTACTACTTGGCAGCAAAAATAGCTAAGGTAGCTAAATAGCTACAAAATGTTTGTAATGTTGTCCAATATTTATTTCAATATTTGATTGTATTTTGCTGAGCGGTAATGTAATTTGAACCTAATAACCATAACTATTGGGCACCGGCGGCGGTACTAAAAATGATAAAAAATGATAATTTTCGATAAAAAGCTGTTTACAATTAATAACTTTGACAACATAGTAATCCCCTGGATATAAATAATTAGGTAGCGAGTCATACGAGACGTATACCAAATAATAATAATTTACGATTTTTGTGATCATACATTTCGTATCAGCCTCAGATAATAATATTCGCTTTATTTTAATATAAGAATCACAATGTTTTAGTAGAGACAATTCCAGGACATATAAACCTTATTTCCATTTATGTAAGGATTAATTTAGAAGCTAAAAATATAAATGTTATATAAATGATACTGTCGAACCATAACCCAGTTTTAGAATATTGAAATTAGGGTCCATAATGCGCTGTTACCTTAGCTTTAAGCCATTGTCATCCTTGTCACATTACGGTAAATGCAATAAAGAATTGAATTGATATGGCGACGACATATAATTACTCGTATATGACGACGACGACGACGACTTATTAAATGAGCGATAATTTGACAAGTCCCATGTGCATGTAAATTCACGAGTAAGCGACGCGACGCGACTCTGCGCCAGTGTGTGTTGAGCATTAGACCCGGCGCCCACTGACGGGACGGGACGGCATGCGATTTTTAGGTGACGAATTGTTATTCATTTTCTATGATTTTTTTTAAACTAAATTTGACTAAAATTCTGCTGTCTCAATTTTTTTCTTCCGATACAATGAAGACCTCCATCCTTCATCCTTACAAGAAATTGAGTTGTAAGCATTAAAAAAAACAATTTTGTTAATTTGTATGAAATTTTTTTTTATGAAATTTCATCAACTTCTACTGTCCCGATTTTTTCGTGCCATACAATGAAATGATCCCTTTATGAAATTGAGTCGAACACAAAAAAAAATTTGATCAATTAAAAAAATTGACTACGCCAAAATTGTTTTCACAAAAAATTTTTATCGAGTTATCGAGTTCTTAGGTTTTCGCGATTGTTACACATAGGAAATGATACTATTTTTCCTACTACTTACTATTTTTCTAAATCGCGGATTTAAACCGTGTTTCGCGGATTTAAACCGCGTTTCGCGCGGTTGACCTTTAGTAGACTACCAACCAGAGGTCAACCGTGACCATGGGACCTGTAAAGGGCCCGAAACTTCGGTTTGTTTGAAAAAACAAAAAAACGCAATTTAAATGCGGAAAAATAATTTCATTTCCTAAACTAAATGGTTTCTAAAACATTTTCCTTGTATCTTGTATACATTCGGATTTCCCGATACAGTCCCATTAAAAAAAAACTAAAACTAAAAAATGTATTTGCATATGGACGATGTATTTACGCTACAACAGTGCTTCTGTATGTGGATGGTGGTCTACAACAGAGTTTTGTATAATATTTATAGCACGTCTGATGAAACACTGACTTAACAAAAAATAAACCATTTTAAAATTGCAAAGATCATGGCCCACAATACGCATAAATAACACGCATAATAACATGATGCGGCGCTGATATTAATCTGACCCGGTTAATGGATGTTTGCGTACAAAAACCACATTTCTTTTAAATTATGCAGATATAAATCACTTTTTATTTTATGTATAAAAAAAAATATTGAATATCTACGGGGTTAACATGTAACCGGGCAATAAAGATTTTATATTAAGTGAATATTATTAATTGTGTGAAAACCCTAATTAGGTTATCGTCACACTTTCTGTCAAAATAAATATCATCACACACTTACGCAAACCGTGCACGATCAGTTGGAGTAGGTATAATTTTTTTATATTACTAAGTATCGGAACGAACAAGTCATGCGCCTGGTAGTAAGCCACACACCTGCCTACAACAATTGCAGTGTTAATCAGAGCTTTAAATCATAAAGATCTGGGGGCAGCGCCACTGCGCCCGTCACTCTGAGACTTAGGTTGACAAGTCTCATGTGCCTATAATTTCACCAGCATCCTTACCCTGCACAACCGGAACATAGTAATGTGGCCATTACTGTTTCTAGGCAGAAATAGGTAAGGTGTCAGTACTTTCCTGGACGAGCTCTTTCACAAGGAGCTCCACTACTTCTGAAATCGTTCTCTGGGTGATCAACAATAAATACAAAACCATTGACTTACAAATAAATGGACGACGGGTCTAATACAAAAACCACGAAAAAAATGTCCCAAGTCATCCTATTTAAACGTAGTGACATGTAAAGGTATATGAAAAAGCTAAAACGTTGAATTTAAATTGTAATGTCATTGCAGTACTGTCTAATTTTGCTTGCTTGGCTGTCAGTCGAACAAACGAAGACTAAAGCGTGAATGACGCTCTGTATACGATTTTAACGCCCTGTAAGTTCGGACACTTTTTGCGCGGACCCGACGTCCATATAATTGTAAGTCAATGTACAAAACACACATTTATTTTGTGCTAATATATTTTTATACAAAAATACATGACATACTTTTTTTGTTGATTTAACTTTAATTTATAGTTATAACTAATGTTCTACATGGTTACCTATCAGAAGTCCGAATTGATATTTTCCAGAAATACCGTTTGTACGAATTTTCATAACCTCGAAAGGAATTTTTAGAGGAAAATGTTTTTTCCTTTAATTTTTTTTAACCTAACCGAACCTGATCGGGTCTTTGCGATAAACATCGAAAGAACAACGGTTTCGGTCATAATTCGGTTTTCGAGGTAAAGAAAATTCGAACAAACGTTATTTCGGACAAAAATAAATTCGAGTTTGTAATAGGTTATCGTTCTAAATTTATGTATTCATGTGAAATAAAATGGATTTTACTTTATTTATTTTTTATTATACTTCTGAACGTCGTGGGTATAGTTCTTATACTTTGGTGGGCCATGGCCATTACACGAAAAAACAGAGGTACTTTAAAATTGTTATTGAAATTGTTACTAGTATAATATTTAGAGCTCTTCAAATGTTTTCAGAAGCCCTAAAAAAGGTAATAGCTTTAACTTGTTTTCTGTACATTTTTGCAAATGTGAGTTAGGAGACTACAACCCAAATGCTTTTGGTTGATTCCGTATAACAGAAAGTGTTGGTTTCTTTATTTCAATTACTTTGTAAGAAGTACGAGGGAAGGTCCAAAAGTCCGCGGAATGGAGGGGGCGGGGGCCCGCTAATTACGCTTGCTTGATGTGGTACTAATCAGATACTCATTAGGGGTATATATATCAAGCTTCACCCTTTTAACTTCATTAGTTTACGAGATATCGCCCTACAAACAAGTAAATCCGGAAGAAAACTGCAAATATGGAGCAAATCGAGTTTCGTGCTGTCATCAAATTCCTTACCAAGCAAGAAAAACCTCCTCAAACCATTATGAATGAGATGGAAACTCTTTATGGGGATCAGTGCCCTGGTAAAACAATGATTTACAAGTGGCACGGTCCTTTCAAACATGGCAGAGAATCAATTGAAGACGATCCTCGCCCAGGACGGCCAGTTGAGGCCACCACATCAGACAATGTTGAAAAAATCGAAAAATTTATGTTGGAAGTTGCCCGTCTGAAGAAGAAACAGCTGTCTGTATTAGTAGGAATATCAGACACTACCATTTTGACGATCCTACACGATCATCTTGGCATGACGAAAGTCAGTGCAAGATGGGTGCCGAGAATGCTCACGCCGCCTCACAAGCAACAAAGAATCGATGCATCAAAGCACTTCTTGGAGCTGTGTGGCGCAGAACCTACCCCAATTTTGGAGCAAATTGTTACTGGAGATGAAACTTGGGTTCATCACTTTGAGCCCGAGTCCAAACAGGAGTCAATGCAATGGCATAAAAAGGGTACACCACCCCCTAAGAAGTTTAAGGTGTCGGAATCGGCTGGAAAAATCATGGCTGCGGTTTTTTGGGATTGTGAAGGAATTTTATTGGTTGACTACAAAGAAAAGGGGGTCAATATAACGGGAGAATATTACGCAAGAACATTAGAGAGACTGAAGGAAGCTGTCAAAGAAAAAAGGTGGGGAAAATGGACAAAGGGTGTGTTGCTTTTGCAAGACAACGCACCGGTTCACAAGAGCAATGTTGCGATGGCTGCTCTACACAAGTGTGGCTTTCAATCGCTGACCCACCCACCTTACAGCCCGGACCTAGCCCCCAGCGATTATTATTTGTTCCCAAATTTGAAAAAAGAATTACGTGGGAAAAAATTTCGCGACGATGAAGAGGTTAAGGCAGCAATTTTAGCTCATTTTGAGAGCAAAGAGAAAAAATATTTTTTCGATGGCATAGAAAAGCTAATTTCGAGATCTAAAATATGTATTGAGCTCAAAGGTAATTATATTGAAAAGGAAAAATAGCCTTATTGTTTTATATTATTTACAACCCCTCCATTCCGCGGACTTTTGGACCTCCCCTCGTATATAGTAAAACTGAGTATAATCACTGATTACTATACGGTGTGAAAACACGATTCCTAAAAATTTTCACAATATAAAAAAAATACAAACTTACCTCGAAATTTTACAAGAAAACCGCTGTATGCAATAGGTACTTCAAATATACCAATGATTTATTTTATATCAACTGAACTTCACACACAAGAGTGCGAGCTAACAAAAGGTTCCTTCTAACCATAAATTATTAAGGTTTTCACACTGGTGAATACTCACGACGCCGGAACGCTAACTCGAGGTTCAACGTTTGTTTTTGAAATACACGGTTGGCAAGATTGACGAACTTTGGTTTAAAATTATACATAGTATATAGGGCACACTATAAGTTTCCGGTACTGGTCACTTACATAAACAATATTTAAAAAGTAATTACAACATTTGAAAATGGAACTCTTTGGCTGTAGAATACAGTTTATTTCATCTAACTGTCACCTGTTTTTACATTGTGGTTTCATTTTAGAAATTGGTTGTCTACATCACTATGGATTTAACTCGTGAAAATTTTCGAAGTATGATTTTCCACGACTTTAAGGGTCGTATTCTAGAACTCTATTCAATGCTTAAGTCAGGATTTGAGTATAGTTTAAAGCACTCGAAATCATACTCAAGTCCCTGCCATTAGGGTCGTATTTCCAGTGATTGTGTTTCCAGTTCAATCCTGACTTGAGCATTGAGTAGAGTTCTAGAATACCACCCTAAGTGTAATTCAACAGCTCAGCGGAGCTTCGCTTGGCTTCAAACTGCTTTTGGCGATGAAGCACCATGCAAGACGACTATTTATAGCTGGTTTGCAGAATTCAAACGCGGTCGCGTGAATCTCAGTGACGAATTTCGTGATGGTTGCCCGTCCACTTCTGTGAACAACAAAAACATCGATGCTGTGCGCCGTATGATCAAAACAGATAGGCATGTGACATACCCTGAGATTCGGGCATCTTTAGGTATAGGCATGAGTCAAATACAATCAATACTACACAAACATTGGGGTGTGAAAAAGCTGTGCTCTCGGTGGATTCCACACAATTTAACTGAGGCTCAAAAAACGGGTCGCATCACTTAGTGCAATGCCATGCTTGCCAGATTCAACGAAGAGGACTTTGTGTTTTGAAGGAAATTTGGTGTGGGACATAGTAACAGGCGACGAAACATGGATTTATAGTTACGATCCCAAAACAAACCAGCAATCGAGCGTATGGGTCTTACGAGATGAGCCGAAACCAATCAAAGTGGCGCGCGTGACCCGCCCGCGATGTTATTGTTGCCTTGATTTGTCCAGCTGCGTCAATTATCCTCTGCCTAAGCTCGTCCATTGAATTTATGGGCGTTTCATACACTTAACTTTTCATATACCCCCATAAGTAAAAATCGCATAACGTTAAATCTTTGCATCGTGCTGGGCATGGAATCGGCCCGCTTCGACCAATCCACCGGCCAGGATAATTTGTGTCCAGCCATTGTCGCACACCCAGGCGGCAGTGAGCTGGACAGCCATCGTGCTTGTAAACCATATTAGAAAATATTGTTAACGGGTACAACATCTTTCAGCATCAGACCTAAATGATCCCTCAAAAAAATTTCATAGGTCTCTCCATTTAAATTATCAGGGAAAAAGTATGGCCCATTTAAATGTCTGTCAATGATTCCCATCCAGACGTTTAGGGAAAACCTTCTCTGATAGGAATTTTTTTCATGGGTTTTCACCTTTTTGGGCCCAAAAATGTGCATTGTGAGAATTTGTGATACCGTCGCGATCAAACTTGGATTCGTCTGTCCATAGGATTGTTGTAATAAAATTTGGGTTTTCCATATCGATATTGATCATGAAACGGCAAAAATCTAGCCTTCTTGCTAGATCTCCTTCATCCAGTCCTTGCACCGGAGTGTAGTGGTACGGGTACAGGCCAGCGGTATGGGCAGTGAACCACACTTTCAATTGTGTTCTACCAAGTTGCCTGACTACCATCCTAGTAGAAGTTGTAGGGTTTCTTCTAACAGCCTCTAATATTTCCTCTTCCTCCTCTGGAAAATAGCCGGGAGGCCTGCCACCATCTATTTGCCTTCGGCTGTTGTTGAAGACGTCCCACCTCAAGCGCCTGTACGTGCCAGAAAACACTTTCTCATTGGTACACGACGACTAAGGTAGCGTCGCATGTAATCCCTTTGAGCCGCAGCAGCGTCACCATCACAAAACAAACTTTTAAATGCTTCACAAAGGCCCCTATTGATGCCGAAGCTAAACAAAAAAAAAATTGATACAATAGCTCCCGGCGAGCCCGGTTAGCAACTACTGGTACTACCGGGTAGGTTCGTATTTCTAAGAAACGCTCCCCTGACCCACAATTTTATTATTGCGAAAACTTGAAACTTATCTCTTATTTTTGTACAACATTTGACCTTTTGGAATAGGTAATAATGTAAGGAATATATATATGGACACGAACGGATATTTCTTTTTCTTCTTGAATTTGTGATTGCAAAATTCTCATAATATCTTCGATCGCTGTTAGAGTGCGTACACGTTTATGTTATATTATATCTAAAAGTGTAAATTAAATTGACCTACTTCACTATTTATTTTAGTCTTTTTTTGCATATACTTATAGTTTACCATGAATAAATAAAATAAAATAAATAAAAAAAATAATTCTAAACAAAATCTTGTAGTGCCGTTTTGTAAAACCGTTTATCAATGGCGGTGGCCCCAGTCCAATCAAAGGATTATTTCTTCGTGTTGTCCGAATTTTGAGTCAATAATAATAACAGACTAGAGGATTATTTAAAAAAAAAATATGAATGTCGTGGTAGTGAAAACATCATGATATTCAATAAAATAAATACAGCGACATCTCTGGTAGCTGCAAAAGTATCTGGCTGAGTGAAGAAACTTTCTTTCAACTTTCAAATATATCACAGTTGACTCTGACGGCAGAAAGATCTGCATGCAACAAGCACAATCAGTCGGACAGTTGGTAAAAGCAGTGGTTCTTTCGTGTCCAATCAGATAAAAGTAATTTTTCTTCATATTTGTTCAATCTTTGTATCAATAATAATAACAATCTAGTTCGCGTTAATGAAACTCGCGTCACAAACAGACGACGGCTGCGGGTGCGGGAGTGGCGTTGTAGTATGAGCACGAGCCCCTCCCCCGCCATTTTCCTTGCAACACGATGTTATCGACGGCAGTGTTGTTGCTGAACAAAGCTATACAATTTGTATTGGGTAGTTATAAGCGTCGATAATAGACCAACGAAGAAGTGTCAGCGGCGCGAGCGCGACCATGACACGAATTTGTATAACGGTGTTTGTTTTTGCAAAAACCGTTATACCAATACTTTTTCAAAAGTAAAAACAAAATAACGTATTTTTTATAGTAATAAATAAATAACGTATTTTTTATA